TGGGAATCAGACACAATTTAGCCAGCAGAAAAATAACTATAGAATCTTAATATGTAAAAATAAGTTAGATCAACATAATGAAAACAATTTAAAATGAATGAGGCTGGTGAGGCTGCAGTCAGCTCAGCCGGGGCTGCTATAGGCTGCCCTGCGTCCACACGTGGGTCCCCCGTAAGGGTGCTGACCACATGGCAGCGGGCGGTCGAGTGCCAGTGAGATGCAAGATGGAAGCCACGGGCTTTCTGTAAGTTAAACTTGGAAGTGACACCCCATCACTTTGCCACATTCCATTTGTCAGGAGTGAGTCACTAGGTCCAATCACGCTCAGGGGAGGGGATTACATGCGGGCATAGGTACCAGGAAGAGGGGACCACTGGGGTCATCGTGGAGGCCACCTCGCCACAGGTCGCTCACTCTGGGGAGTGAGTGATCCCTGCGCATGGCCACGCTTCTGGACTTCTAGCCTGGAGAACGGTCTCATAATTTCCCACACGGGGGCCATCCCTGGTCTGTTTCCAAGCTGTCCCCAGAGCTGCACACCTGCTCTGTCCCCTTCCGTCACTGTGGTGCCTCCTGGTTCACAGGAAGGTGTCTCTGGAGGGCAACCCGCTGCCGGAGCAGTCCTATCACAAGCTCATGGCACTGGACAGCCCGTGAGGCCCCTGTCCCCACCCCTCCTCTGGGCCTGCCCCCATCTCAAGTCACGCCTGGTCCCCGCCCTTCCTTGCCCCTCAAGCACCTCCCCAGGGACCCTCAACTCCTGCCCCTCCGCCTCAGACCCCACGGCTCTCTCCATGTCCCCATGTCCCCATGTCCCCACATCTCCCGAGGTTCCCGGCACGCCCAGGACCCCAGGGCCCTCTGTCCCCTCCCGCCGCCCAGGATCGCGCACCTGTCCCTGCGGAACAACAACATCAACGACTACGGGGCGCAGCTCCTGGGCCGGGCTCTGTCCACGCTGCACAGCTGCAACCGGACGCTGGTCTCGCTCAACCTGGGTTTCAACCTCATCGGGGACGAGGGCGCGTGCTACATCCCAGGGCCT